AAAAAAAAAAAAAGGGGTGGGGTGGGGTGGGGAGGATCAGGCTGCTTGCCATAACGTGATGGAAAAATTGAAAGTTTAGTCCTCAGGGTTTTATTCTATGCCCCACCATTTCAATTTAGGGGGCATAGAATAAAACCTTGGGGATTAAACCCCATCATGTATACAGGCACCCTAAATGACCATTTTGGCCTCTAAGGTAACCTGAATGAATTCTGGGGCTAAGGATTAATGTCACAGGCCAAATGACCCATGTGAAGAGAGGAGGGTATAACCCACCACCTCTCTTATGGTGTATAACACTTTGTTCTTGCCTGTGTGGATAAGGCCAGATTTGCATATGAGTCATGTTTCTGACTTAATGAGCCTGTCATATGATGATCTTGTTGGCCTGGGACCCTAGCTGCAGCCTGGAGGGCAAGGTTGGGTTTTCCAACATTGTTTGTGATGCCAGGGACAGAGTAAATATGCATGGGCAGAACTGACAGGGTGTTGTAGATCATGACTGAAGAAAGCTGGCAACGCAGTGGGGGCACACAGGCATCCCAGGAGCAGCAGTGTGTACGGCACATCACAAGTTTCTACGACTTTCTGATCTCCTCCTTTACCTCTGCCCATCCCTAGAAGTTATCTATTCTCACAAGCACTGAAATATGAAAAGCATTGAACTAGGACACTACATCCCTGTTAAGAACATCGGCCGACCAACGGTCAGTGCTGACATGGTAAGAGGACACTTGGAGGAACTGGATGTATTCAAATAACTGGGACTGGAGGGACTCCACCCACAGGTATTGAAGGAATTAGCGAGTGTCATAGTTGAACTACTAGCAAGGATATATGAGCACTCATGGTGCTCAGGTCAGGTCCCAGAGGATTGGAAGAGGGCCAATATTACCCCAACCTTTAAGAGGAGGAGGAAGGAGGATCCGGGGAACTATAGACCGGTCAGCCTCACCTCTATCCCAGGGAAAATCCTTGAAAAAATTACCAAGGAACACATCTGTGGGAGCCCACTGGCTAATGTGATGCGGAGGGATAACCAACATGGGTTTATAGCAGGCAGGTCCTGCCTGACTAATCTAGTTTCTTTTTACAACAAGGCCACCAAGTGTTTAGATGCAGGAGTTGAGGTGGATGGACTTCAAAAAGGCCTTTGACAAGGTATCCCATACCACCCTTATTAATAAACTGAGGGGATTTGCCTTGGATGATTATACAGTAGAATGGGTAGCAAACTGGCTCAGGGGATCACACTCAGAGGGTGGTGGTGGATGAGTCAGTGTCAACCTGGAAAGATGTGTGCAGTGAAGTCCGTCAGGGCTCAGTTCTGGGGCCAGTGCTGTTCAACATTTTCATCAGTGATCTGGACGAGGGTGTGGGAAGCACCCTGTCCAAATCTGAGGATGACACAAAAATATGGGGTGGAGCTAACACCCTGGAGAGGAGGAATCAAATCCAGGCTGACCTCGACAGGTTGGGGAAGTGGGCAGAGAGCAACAGGATGCAATTCAATAAGGACAAGTGCAAGGTGCTGTATCTAGGGAGAAAAAAACTGCCATCAGACGTATAGGCTGGCGGATAACCTTAGCACCACTGAGGCTGAAAAAGATCTTGGAGTCACTGTTGACTCCAGGATGAACATAAGTCATCAATGTGATGATGTAGTCAGCAGAGCCAATCGCACCTTGTCGTGCATCCGTAGGTGCTTCACAAACAGGTCCAGGGAGGTGATTCTTCCTCTACACGGCACTGGTCATGCCGCAGCTGGAGTACTGTGTCCAGTTCTGGATGCTGCAGTTCAAGCGGGATGTGGACAACCTGGAGAGGGTCCAGAGAAGAGCCACTTGTCTGAGTGGAGGCCT